CACTGATGTAACACACAGGTGGAACTCTACATATCTTATGTTACATTCGTGTGAAAATTACGATAAAGTGATTTCACTATATTATAATGGTAGGCATACACTCGGACCCGAACATAATTTGGAAGATTGGGAATGGACTATTGCATTTTACGTGAAAAAATTCTTACAACCTTTTTTCGATGCTACAAAGGAATGTAGCGGTGTTTATTACCCTACATCTTCTCTTGTTTTATAACATTTTTTCTACATTTCACAAGCATTTCATAAATATAGGAATTTGCCACTTTTTGCTGATGTAGTCCGCTCTATGGAGTTAAAATTTTGTAAATACTGGGAAGAGTTGCCTTCTTTATTTTTTTTAGCTTCAGTAATGGACCCTCGACTTAATTTAACTGGCACAAAAACTACTGTAAAAGGGATATCAGATTTTTTGAATATAGAATTATCACACATGCATATAGAATCTTTTTTATGTGAAATGTATAATTATTATGCTGAAAAGGAAGGTCAGCGTAGTTCTACTTCCCAAAGTTCTTTTTCAAGAAATATTTCAACAAATCTCGAAAATTTATGGAATTATTTAGATAGCAATACAAGTGCTCCTTCATTTAGTTCTAGTTCTAGCTCATCAACATCTAGAGCGATCAATATTGGTGGTACAAATCTTGAAATTCCTTCTGAGTTAGCTAGGTATATGTGCGTGGATGTTCGTAGTGTGTTGCAACCGCACGAATTACAAGAATTTAGTCTTTTAAATTGGTGGAGATGTAACGAAAGGCAATATCCAATTGTATCAAAAATTGCACGTGATCTACTAATACCTCCGGTGTCTACGGTAGCATCGGAGGCTGCATTCAGTTTAGGTGGTCGAATTTTATCAGATGAACGATCAAGACTAAAAGAAGATATATTGGAGGCTTTGATATGTTTAAAGGATTGGGAATGTGCAGAATTACGTGTTCAAGATCATGTTGATAGTATAATGGCCGAAGAGTTGCAGCATATCCAAACATAGGATGTTGTAAGTTTTTAAATTAATTATTTTTCTTTAAGAAATGTATTTTTTAAATTTATTTGATTCAAAAAAAATTGTACACGAAATATTTTATTCGTGTACAATTTTAACTCCGCCTACGTTGATTGTAGCTGGTCCCAAGCCCGGAAAAAGGAGGAGGGTTGTAATTTGTAACTTTTATTTATTTTGTTATTCGTATAAATTACATAATTTTGAAAGTTGTACTTTTATTTAATTTGTAATTTGTATAAATAATAAATGATGCAATTTTTAAATTCTTTCAAAAAAATGTCATTCAACAATTTGCACCACAACAATTAGCATGTAAAAAAAATGTCATTAAGAATTGCAAAAAAAAAAAAAATCGAGCCGGCCCGAGCCGAGCCGGCTCGGCTCATAAAAAGCCCGAGCCAAAAGCTCGGGCCGAGCCTTTTTTTTTTGGGCGAGTTTGGCTCGGCTCGGCTCGGCTCGTTTACATCCCTAGATGTGGCCTAAAACTTCAAAAAAGATGTAAACAGATGCTTTAAATAGGAAAAAATGTAATATTGGTCCTCATGTTATTGTTTGAGTAACAAGTTGGTCCGATACCTTTAAAAGTGAGTAAATTAATCTTAAGATTTCCATTATAGTTGCACATTCATTCACGATCATGCTAACTTCTCAAATATTCATTCAATCATTAGTGACGGAGCCAAGACTCAGAATAAGTGGGAACAAATTTTAACTACGAAAATTTTTTCGAACAAAAAATATAATAATTTTCAAACTTCAATCACGCTATAAGTATATGATTTTTTGACAGAAAAATCTCACAGACAACACATGACGCGACATTATTGAAGTATTGAAGGATGAGAAAAAAAAAGTTCAATCATATTTTGCTATGTTAATGTTGGTACAAGTTTTGTTAAATTCTTCCTGTACTCATAACTTTATTGTTCAAACTTTATACTTTTTTACAAGTGTTATCTACGAATGTTACTTTAATGACCCTAGACAATGAAAAAACATAATATTAACTATTTTAATTTTTTACAATTAAGGTTCATAGAAATTGGTAAGAATTTGTGCAATATCATCATCTATTTAACTTTAAACACAATTGAACAAATTAAAATGTCTACAATAATTCAAAGTTCAACAAAGTCAAGTTCTTGGGCTAGGAAGAAGACTATCAAGGCAGTTGCTACTCCCAACACAGCTAATTGGGGTTATGATAAGATGAGATTGATTCTCAAGACCCAAGTGTGAAAAATAAAAAAAATATCTCACTTTTAAAAATTAGATTCTTGTGGTCATAGGACCCACTAGGCCTACACCCCGCCATGGGAATCACTATGTGACCTTCATTTATTTAACTTTATAAATTTAAATTTGGTTTACCAACTTAGGTTGGTACCTAGAAATTTAAAATGAAACATGCTTTCACGAGCATTGCACGATGATTAAAAAGCCATTTGTTTGCATTTTGTCATCGAGATCTAATTGAGCAAACGAACTCACTCATTTTTTTAAGTTTAAAAATTAACTTACCATTTGAACAATAAATTGTAGACCCGTATTGCGATTTTTCCAGTTAATATAGAAAAGAAATTGACATTAATCATTTTCCTTGTAGCTTTCTTGGGTGTAATCACATTCTCTAAACTTCACACACACACACTTAGTCCCGACAAAAAGCTAAAGAAATTGGAAAAAGGGGAAGTAGTTATGCTGTAATTGGAAGAATTCTTGATGGCTTTTCATATTTCTCCCTAATTCAAAAATTTAATTGAAGCTTTTATGCAGATTCCTTGTATTTTTTTTCTCAAAATTTTTTTTTTTATTATTATTTTATAGACTTTACTTTAATTGAAATTTGTTTATTCCTTGTGCAGGAACATCAAACCTTAAGCATCAATGATTTATAAATATTTTATTTGGTTTTACATGATTGAGTTTCTTTTTTTATTTGAAAATAAATTATTCTTTAATGAGATTTTTAGTCCAAAAACTTCCTTTAAAAAGTACGTAAAATTTTGAAAAAAATATGCGAGTATACATATATTTTAAGATTCCTCAAACACGAGTCTATTCTGGTGAAAAATTAATACTATATCATAGACCATGAAACACATAATAAAAAGACATAAAATACTCACATTTGTTATATAATACTTCGTAGTCGCTAAAAACTTCTTCAAATTTCTCGTCCTTCTTCTTCTTGTCATTTTGGTAGGGTCTTGAAAAATAAGGCGAGAATATAGCACCCTATAAATTTGCAATACCTAATAAAAATATAAGAAAATAAGAGACAAAATGTATAAAGATTGTATGTGTTTTCTTATACCATCTAACAAAGTTTTTATTTCTTCGGATGATTAAACTCTAGGGGTATTGAAAGGGAGGACAATTTTTTGGTTCTTATCCTTGAACAGATCGAAGGCATGCGGTCGTTGACACAACTTCTAGGATTACCAGTTCAATGTTTTTAGTCCAAGTACGTTAAGAGTATGCCGTGATGATTAAAATGACCAAAACTTAAAGAGAAACTTAATTGTTAATATATTTGGGATAATCGTAACTCCTGTTTGATTCAACTAATTTTTTTTATTAAAATTTAAGTCAAAATTAATATTTAATTATAACCATACAATTTATGGGACTTACAATTTTGTCCATTCAACTTTTATCAAATTTTAAGAAAAATCTAAATGGACTTAGTGCTCGATGCAAGAGTGCAAACACTTATTTATCTACTGTCAATGTTGCATAATAAATATTGAATAAAAAATTTGTATACAGACAACCGATATTTAATAGCCTTTTTCTTGTCTCGTTACCTTCATTTTCACATTATTTTCTTGAAAACTTGAGGCCAAGACAAGAAAAATAACGAAAAAGAAAACAAAAGGCCAATAACCGAAAAAGGGCTTTAATGATTCATATCAAAATTCATAAATATATTACTGTACTGATGAGTCATGACTCCAAATCCCACACAAAATCAATTCATTCCCCCTCACTCTACGCTGTCTCTTTACCTTTTCTTGCCCTCAGACACTCGAGTTCCCACTACTG